TTTAAATGAAAACCACAATAAAATGCCACCTCACACCAATTTAAAAATTCCCAAACTCAAAACAAATATTTTGGCCACTCAGCATGTCAATGAATGACTATACCCAAAAAAAACATGGTCTATCGATTTCAGGGTTACAAATAAATTCTAGTGAATAGGCACATTTGCAAATGTGGAATCCACAAACTTTGAAGAATGACTGTACATATTTAAATGACAGTAGTTGAGAAGAGTCCCCTTTTCTTCTGATTGTTTGAAATCTCACTCCTGATTAGCCATGTCAGTCATTCATCCTCAAATCTATTCCTAGATACTTACTTGTCATGAAGTAAAAATCAGTCAACAAGCAGTTCTGATGCTTGGCCAAGATGTGAATTCAGGGCCTCCCTTGTGGCACAGCAGGTTGAGCACAGCGCTGTGAAGCTGTTCACAACCTCTGCAGCATGGGTTTGATTCCTGGCCGGCCGGGAAGCAAACCACCTGGCGAAGCAAACCTCTCCTGTCTTGCCCGCTCCTCCCCTCAGCAGTGTATTTCATTCAACCCACCTGTTCTGCTCCACACTCTGTCTCTGGTGAATCCTCTCACTTTCCTGCACCTCTGGCCAGTAACCCAGCTACTGTATTAAAAAAAAAGATGTGAATTCACTGATGTGGTTCAGCCTCTCAATTTTACATGGGAGCCAACAGATGGAAGTTCTTCAAGAAGTTAAACATAGTGTTCCCATAAGACTTAGCAATTCCATTCAATAGGTATATACTAATGAAAATTAAAGATATGTCCTCCAGTTTGCATATTAACATTCATCACTACATAACCAAAAGCTGGAAATAATACAAATGCCCATCACCTGATTAATGGATAAATGAAATTTAGTATACCCATATAATGAAATGTTACTTGGCAATAAAAAAGAAGTACTGATGATGCTACAACATGCCAAGTGTAAGAGGTCCATCACAAACTACTTCATAGTGTGACTCCACTCCATATGAAATGTCCAGATTAAGCAATTCTAGAGACAGAAAGACTAGTGGTTGCCTAGAGCTGTGAAAGTTGGCAGGGAAATGAGGAATATGATGTGGATTTTCTTTTTGGATGATAAAAAGATTCTGGGACTATATAGTGATGAGTAAACAACTATGAATATAGTAAAAATTACTAAATTGTACATTCTGTAAAAGGGTTAATTATGGAATGTGAATTATATTTTAATAAATCTTAATTTTTTTATTTTAAGGAAAAATTTAAATATACAATCGAACTTTTATATAGTAGCTAAAGGGAATAACATTTCCTTCCCAGTTTGCTTCATTGTAAGGAAAGGAATATAATTGTTGAGCAAGAATAAATTCGAATACTGAGAAGCTCATCTGATGTGCTGACTTACGGTCAGTTAGGGGCCTCCTTATAAGAAAGTATCTGCTTTTTGAATGACAGAGCTGTTGGCGAGTTTTATTACTTCTGTGTGAAGACAGTATTCTCGTGTCTTAACAGTTTTTTAGTACTAAGTGTCTTTTTGACTGATAGCCAAGGTAAATAGAATTTGAAATTGTTTTCTTTACTCTAAGAAGCAGAACACTTGCACAAATGCTTACTGAGTGGTTGGAGATCAATATTTTTTAATTGGGAGGCTATTTACTTTTAACATGGTAAGAGATAAGTTGCAATAAGTACCTGAATTTATGTTCCCTTGGTGACTCTTTGAACATAGGAAGACAGTACTGTAATAGTGGAGGAGGTGAGTTTTCTTGCATTAGTGTATTTGGAACTTTTTTAATAAGTTTTGTTTAAAATAAATATTTATTTATTCTTTCAGATGTTTTTATACCTATGCCAGAGAACTTACTAGTAAATTTAAATGAAAGTAAAGAGGTAAGACACATTTCCTTATCTTATTTCTTTTATTGCAATATTGAAAGAATGTATTTTTGAAGTGAACTTTTTTTTAAGTAAAAATTTGCTTCTTTATGTGACATTCTAGATTGCGTAGCATTTTATATTTGCTGTTAGTTAAAAATCATCAGATGAATAACTCTTGAGTTTGGCCTTGAATTGATTGCTTATAAGTCTAATGTAGCAAGTTATATGTAGGAGGGTAGAAGATAATCCTGTTCCATAAAGGAGGAAAGCCTGAAAGAAATCTGCCTTGCCAGCCATTTGGGAAACTGGGAGGGTTGCTGAGATAAGCTTCTGGTCACTACATAGAAGCACTTTAGCTAGGCTGCTTTCAGTGCCCTTTGCTTTTCTGATTCACAGAGTATCATTGGGGTCAGTTCAGAAGAAACTCTTATTACCTGCCTGGAAATTGCCATGACATAATACAGTGAGAGGTGAACAGAATGTGTCTGAGGGGGGATGTTGTCTACCCTGTACATGCATATATGCCGTAGGGGTAACATTTTAACTAGCAAGTCTATGGTCTCAGCTGTTGGCAATGGTGACTTTGCCATAGTGTGAAGTATTTTCTCCTATTAACTCTCTATTTGTACAACCTAACCCAAATAGGTAGTTTGTTTTACGTTTTGTTTTTCTTTTATAGTGATATTACTTAGTTGGCAAATTTACCGGTATCTTAGATTTTGCAATAGGGAAAGAGTTAAACTCACTTTGGAACTGAAAAGAGTTAAGTGTGTAGAGGTGATTGAGAAGGCCATATTTCATGGCATTAAAATAAATCAAATCTCTATACTGTAATGGTTCTTTTAGATACATTTTGGACTTATAGTCTTGCTGGACTATTGCATGTGCAAGAACTGTAAGGCCCCAATTTTGATTTGTCTTGCTTGCCAATTTATAACGTTGATTTAAAATAGCTTTCTTGTTATTTGACCAACTTCATTGTTTCATGTACTGTCTGTAGATCCTCTGACCATCATCATGATCAGTGTCTTGTCTGTTGTATTAGTTACTGACGTATTGTGGGAAAAAAATTAATTGTAACACTCTTGAGTTTTCTTGCTTTATTTCACAAGCTTGTCCAAGATTTACTAAAAACATTGCCGCAAATGTTCACCAAGACCCTGGAGACCCAGAGTGCCTTGGGTCCTGCACTTCAGGCTGCCTTTAAGCTGATGTCCCCAACTGGTGGTCGAATGACTGTCTTTCAAACACAGCTTCCAACTCTTGGAGTCGGAGCTCTGAAACCGCGAGAGGAACCCAACCAGAGGTCATCTGCTAAGGTTAGAGAGTCATCAAGTATTAAGATTTTTTTTTTTTTATAGAGGCATGTTTTATTTATTTATTTGTTTGTTTGTTTGTTTGTTTTGTTTATACATGCACTGGGTACAGTCAGAAGCGCGGGAGGGTGAGAGAATTCACCAGAGCCAGAGCGGGGAGCAGAGCAGGCAGAAGGACCGAAGTACACTGCTGAGGGGAGCAGCGGGCGGCAGGAGAGGTCTGCACGCCATGTGGGACCCTCCTTCGGTGGCCGGGGAGCAGCCGGGGATCGAACCGGCGCCGCAGAAGACGCGGGCAGCTTCGCAACCCAGCGCTCAACCACTGCGCCACCGGGGAGGCCCAGTATTAAGATTTTTGTTGGTGCTCTGTTCCTTTGAATCACAGAGCTTGTTTTTTCATAATTTATTTTCCAGTTGTGGAGAGGAGGGAATTTAAGGAGATGGATAAAGCATTTTTCTTTTATGTAGACATTTGTACTTTATTACATTATTTTCCATTTGATTCACCCTTACCTTAATTTTATTCCTTTCTTTCTTTGTTTTTTTTTTTTTTTTAAAGATTTATTTATGCATACAAGAGCTGGGGTATAGGCCAGAGATGTGGGGGGTGGTGGTGAGAGGGCCCACCAGAGACAGAGTGGGGAGCAGAACAGGCAGATGTACTGAAACACACTGTTGAGGGGAGCAGCAGGCGAGTCAGGAGAGAACTGCTGCACCATGTGGGTAGCTCCCTGGCCGGGGATCGAACTCATGGATAGCTTCATAGGTTGCATCTTAACCCCTTGCGCCACCAGGGAGGCCCCTATTTCTTTCTTTCTTAATATTTTGTATTACCTTGAACTTTTTTTTTTTTTTTCCAGAAAAGACCTGAGGTGTTTCTTGCTAAAAATCCAGAAAATAGTATAAAGCTAAGGGATTTTGTAGAATGCCCAAGGATAGTTGTTAACAACTTGACATAGGTGTAGATATGTAGTAGATATAGCTGTAGATATCTGGTTAAATTTCATGACACTTTAATGAATTTTAAAGTTTTCTTCTTGTGACTTATTAATAGGAAATTCACTTGACACCATCCACTGACTTCTATAAGAAATTAGCTTTGGACTGTTCTGGTCAGCAGGTAGCTGTTGACTTATTCCTTCTCAGTGGACAGTACTCTGATTTAGCATCTCTGGGTAAGTTCTTTCTAATGATTCTTTTTTTTAAGTGAATGTCAAAATGGTATTTCTATGATGGTATTTTAAGTGAAGGACAAACTAACATTTATTATTTATTTTTTATTCTCTCAGTCAAATTAGTCTATTATAAACCTGATATTCTTCCTTTCAAAACATGTATTACAGAAATATTTATATTGTTGCTTAAAGAAATAAAATGCTATCTTTTGACAATACTTTGGGAGGTTCTATAAAAATTGCTTCAAATGCCTGTAGTTCCTTTGGTGTAGCAGTAGTAGATAATGGCAGCACTTAAAAGGAGTATATGTTCTTTTTCAGGTTGTATTTCTCGGTATTCAGCAGGTAGTGTCTATTACTATCCTTCTTACCACCATCAGCATAACCCAGTCCAAGTACAGAAATTACAGAAGGAACTACAGAGATATCTTACTCGTAAGATTGGCTTTGAAGCAGTCATGAGGATTCGGTGCACCAAAGGTAAGGAGTAAATGTTGCTTTTAATACCAGTAAATAATGCCTTTTTTTTTTTAGCATTACTCAAATACTCTATTTTATTTTTCTCTCTTACGCCAAGAGATTTAACAGATCAACGTTTATTTTGTGATAGATCATCATTTCCTTTGCCAAACAAAACTATAGGCTACATCTTGTGTGTCACAGATATGCCCACTTTCTGTTTTGCTAAGAAAGCAGTGTTCAATCATGTAACAGTCTCTTTCCCACAGAGGAATGCCACAATTGCTTCCATAATAACAGTTGCAGTCAACTAGCCATGGAATTAAATAATACATTTTTTACCTATTGTTGCTTCTAAGATTTGTCTCCTATGATACTTTGTTTACTGTGGTGGAATATACAATTAGGAATAGAGAAGAAACATAACATAAAAATTTAAGTACAATTGTGTATGTACTGAATTGTACTCTTGAAAAGGGTAATTTTTATGGTATGTCAGCTGTATCTCTGAAAAAAAAAATTGTATCCCCAAAGAAAATAATGCCATAATGCTGATAAATTTTTATTTCACTTATTTAGCTGTAGTGATAGAATATTTTTTAAACAATTATTTTTTTAAATTATGGTAAAGTATATGTGACATAAAATTTACCATTTTAATCATTTTAAAGTGTTCAGTTGAGTGGCATTAAGTAGACTCCATTATTGTCAACAATCAGAACCACCCACCTGCAGAAGTAGATCTTTTCATTTGTATCCTTCTCACCATGTACTTGATACTAACATCTTGCCACAGTGTGGCTTTAGAAATAGTCTCAGAGTTTCAAAATGATTTTATCCAATCTGTTTTTCAAACATTTTGTGGCACCTATAGAACTTTATTCTTAGGATAATGAGAAATTATAATTCTTAATATTTCACTTATCCACATTATCAGCCTGGTACTACTCTTTTTTCAGATTTTTTAAATACTGCTTTGTAAGCAGGTGTGAAACAGTTTTTTAAAGTGAAAAATTATATGAAATATGTAGGGAAAAATAAATATACCAAGATAAGGATCCACGAACCTGTCCACTAAATAGATATTGAAATCTGTTGGTCAAACCATGTGCCAATTGAAGTTCTCTGTTATTTATCACTGTGATGAAAAGAAAAAATGGTTGGTGAAGCAACTGAAAATAAGACATATATTCTCTTACATAAGAAAAGGCAAATGTTTTATTTTGAGGTCAACCCTCTTAGCAGATTTTTAAGCATATAATACAGTATTGTTAACAACAGTAAACACTTTTAAAAGGTTGTCACATCTCCAAACAAGTTACAGGTAATCATCCATCACTAATCACTTGGTACAAAAACATTCTGTTTCTGTTATCTTTTTAACTTTAATAACAACTATTTTGAGATTAAATTTATATACCATACAATTTATTCAATAGAAATACACTGTTCATTGGTTTTGAGTATATTCATTATGTTATTGCCAGTTTTATAACATTTCATTACTATAGAAATAAACCCTCTAACAATTAGCAGCCACTCCTTATTTTACCCTCAACTCTGGCAGCTCTAGGTAATGCCAATCTTTCTGTCTCTATGAATCTGCTTATTCTGGACATTTTATATTAATGAAGCAACACAATATGAGGTCCTTTGTGACTGATTTCTTGTCATTAGCATAATGTTGTCAAGGTTGACCCATCTTGTAGCATGTGTCAATATTTTGTTCCTTTACTTTTTACAAAAATATTTGATTTATTTTCATTGTCCAATTACCTCATTTTGCTTATCTATTCATCAGTCGGTGAAAATTTGGATTATTTCTACTTCTTTTTGTTTTTTGAATAATACTGCTAAAGCATTTGTGTAGAGGTTTTTAGACATGTTTTCATTTCTCTTACTTATATTTAGGGTAGGTTCATTACAGTAGACTTCATTACAGTCGTGACTGATTAAATATTTGGCCATTGGTAATTCAACCACCAGCCCTTTGGCTCTCTTTAGAGGTAGAGTGAGCATGAGAAGGTGGGTAGGACTGAAAGTTCCAACCCTCTAATCTTGGAGTTGGGTCCCCTGGCAAGCAGTCCCCATCCTTAGGTTTTCTAGATACTTTTCAAAAGTCACCTCATTAATGTAGCAAAAGACACCTTTATCTTTCTCTTAGGGAATTCTAACGGTTTTAGGAGCTCTGTGCCAGAAAAGGGGAGGAAAGACAAATATAAATCTTACTATAAATTACAATATCACATCTATACTTTTTAAATTACTCTCTACAGTCTGCTGAATAACACTGTAGATATCTATATGTAGGTATACATAGGTCATTTTCATAAATTTTTTTCTTCTAGGTCTTTCAATACATACTTTCCATGGGAATTTCTTTGTTCGGTCAACGGACTTATTGTCTTTACCTAATGTAAACCCAGATGCTGGGTATGCAGTGCAGATGTCAGTGGAAGAGAGTCTTACTGATACTCAGTTGGTTTCCTTTCAGTCAGCACTCTTATATACATCCAGCAAAGGTAAGCTGTTATTTTTTTGTTGCTGTTGTTTTTATTGTGGCAAAAACCACATAATTTTTAAGTGTACAGTACTGCATTAGTAATTATAAGCTCAGTGTTTTAGCAAAGATTAAGTTTTTTTGATTGTCATGTATTCTATAGTTTATGATAAATTTCCTCTTCTTTGCAGGAATTTTGTAAATTTCTATTAAGCCATAAGTTACTAACAAAAGAAATTTGTTAATTTCTAATAAGCCATTTTGTTACTATTCTTCCAAGATGTTTTGGTATTTTCCTTTACCATTTTATTTATTTGATATTTATTGAGATTCACTTTGTGACAGGTACTGACATGCTTTTTTTTTTAATTTATTTTTCTTCATTTTTGTGTAGAAGAACAGGGGTATAGGTCAAAGGTACAGGTGTGAGAGGATTCACCAGAGACAGAGCAGGGAGAAGAACAGGTGGATTTACTGAAATATGCTGCTAAGGGGAGCAGGGGGTAAGACAGGAGAGGTCTACTGCGCCATATGTGGGTTAGCTCTGTGGTTGGACATTGACCTCAGGCTGTAAAGGTGATAACTTTTGAGACTTAATAACCCTAGGCCACCAGGGAGGCCCCCCGCATGTTTGGTTTTTTTTTAAGATTTATTTATTCTTGCATATAAGAACTGGGGTATGGGCCGGAGGTGTGGAGGGTGAAAGGATCCACCAGAGACAGAGTGGGGAACAAAACAGGCAGATTGGCTGAAGTATACTGCTGAGGGGAGCAGCAGGCAATTCAGGAGAGGTCTGCTGCACCATGTGGGTAGCTCCCTGGCCAGGAATCGAACTCGTGCTGCAGTGGCTGCGGATAGCTTGACAGGTTGTTTCTTAACCCCTCGTGTCATTCGGGAGGCCTCCCCTCATTGTTTTTGATAACAAAACAGTCAATAAAACAGAAATGATAAGTATCCTTTTCTTCATAGTGATTATTCTAATAGGAAGATAGACAATTAAGAAGACTTATAAGTGGGGGGAAAAGTATGTTCTACAGTGATATTAGCTAAGGAAAAATATAAAGCAGGTAAAGGGTTTGGGAAGTGCTCAGAAGATTGTCTTTTTGGTCCTCACAAAGGCTACATTTGAATTAAATTTTGAAAGAGCTTAAGTGGGAGATAGAAATCATTTTTTTAAAAAAAGATTTATTTTTGGGCCTCCCCTGGTGGTGAAGCGGTTGAACACTGGGCTGCAAAGCTGCCTGCAGCCTCTGCAGCGCCAGTTCAATTTCCGGCCTCCAGCGAGGGTAGACAGACCTCTCCTGCCGGGCCCGCTGCTCCCCTTAGCAGTGTATTTCGTCAGTCTGCCTGTTCTGTTCCCTGCTCTGGCTCTGGTGAATTCTCTCACCCTTCTGCACTTCTGACTGTACCCAGTGCTTGTACGAATAAACAAATAAATCTTTAAAAAAAATTATTTTTTATTTATACAATAGCTGGGATACAGGCCAGAGGCACGGGAGGGTGAGAGGATTCACCAGAGACAGAGTGGGCAATAGAACAGGCAGACTGACCAAAGTACACTGCTGAGGGGAGCAGTGGGAGAGACAGGAGAGGTCTGCCTCGCCATGTGGGAATCTCCCTGGGCGGCCAGGAATCGAACCCGCACTGCAGAGGCTGAGGACAGCTTCACAGCGCTGTGCTCAACCCACTGCGCCACCGGGGTGGCCCAGAGATCACTTTTTTAAGGATGTAATTTGTTACTAATTTGTAAATGTTTCATCCTAAACGTGTTGAGAGGAGTTACATTTATTTTATCTTTTAAAAATACTTAACATTCTTTCACTCTTACTCTGCTCTGTTTTTGTCTCCTTAGAAAAGTTTTAGGAGTTTTTCTGTGCTCTCTGTTCTTACCTTCATAGGCCCTCCAAAATTTATTAGAAATGTGTAATAATAAAACACTATATCATAAATGTATAAGTAAGTTTTCTGTGTCTAGATACCATTTTTATTTGACAAAAGAAAGAAATCTCATTCCCTTTTCTGCTCATTAATTTTTCTTAACATTAAAAAAATTATAATTGACATGGTAAAATCCACTATTTTCTTGTATAATTTCACAAGCTTTGACAAATATGTTGTGTAACCACTACCACAAATAAGATATCACAGTCAGTCCTACTGTCCCCAAAAATCTCTTCCTACTTTTGTAATCAACTAATCTTCTATTCCCTGCTCCTGGCAATCATTGATCTAATCTGTTTTTTGACCCCATGGCTTTGCCTTTGCAAGAATGTCATATAAATGGAATCTTGAATTAGGTGGCTTTTTGAATATGACTTTAAAAAAAAAGATTCATTTTATTTACTTATGTATATAAGAAAATGGGGTACAGGCCAGAGGTGCAGTGGGGGCGGTAAGTTGACAGGATTCATCAGAGACAAAGTGGGGAGAAGAACAGGCAGATCTACGGAAATACACTGCTGAGGGGACCAGCAGACAAGACAGTAGATGTCTAATGTGCCATGTGTGTTAGCTCCCTATCTGGGGATTGAACTCATGCCGCAGTGGCTGGTGATAGGTTCATAGTGCTGAGGCTTTAAGGCCTATGCCACAAGGGAGGCCCTGAATATGACTTTTTTCACTAATGTGCATTTAAGATCATTTGTCTCAAATTATCAATACTTTGTACCTTTTCTTTCTTTTTTCAACTTTTAATTGCATTTATTTTATGCTGGCTTTATTCCCAGGTTGTAAGTTTGGTTTGTTTGTTTTTTTGTTTCTTCTGGGATCTCTCTTCTTATGTGCTTTTTCCTCTGACTTATCAATAATCTGCTCCTTCTCAG